GTTATTTTCATTCTTGCCTCATTCAGACGACAATTTAGCCATCGCACCCTGTACATCTGTTAAAATGAGATGTCAGTGTTATTTTCATTCTTGCCTCATTCAGACGACAATTTAGCCATCGCACCCTGTACATCTGTTAAAATGAGATGTCAGTGTTATTTTCATTCTTGCCTCATTCAGACGACAATTTAGCCATCGCTCCCTGTACATCTGTTAAAATGAGATGTCAGTGTTATTTTCATTTTTGCGTCATTCAGACGGCAATTTATCCATTGCACCCTGTATTAATGCTATCTTACCGATGCCTCAAAAAAATCACAACCCACTTTGTTAAATCCCTCCTATTACTGAGTTAAGTTGTTTGAGTTAGGTTGATTGATTTTATGACATGACACCCCAGATTGGGTTATTTAATGTTGAAATTTTGTATGTGTATCTGATTTTGTTTCAATAAACCATAACACACATTGTGCTTTTCTTGAGGAGTAGCCATTTTTAGTGATTCATTTAACAGTACCACTTTCATCAAAATGATACCTGAAATACACAAATGCAATGTGATTAAAACCTTTGATAAAAGAGCTACTGTTAAAAGAACCCCTAACAAATCCAGACTGGTGAATTTGGAAGTGATGGCCATTATTCCCTGGACACCTCATTCACAAGATATCACTCCCCTGAATTTCTTTCTATGGGGGTTATGTTTGTAGTACACTACCACCACAATTACTATACTCACAGTATATAGAAATCATGTGACAAGCATTCATTGGTTAATCTACTCAAAACTAGCTCGCTGATTGGTCAGTTCCAACCAATCAAACCACCTGCATGCAACAAATCTGTTTTCCCGCTCAATATGCTCTGAGCCAGTCACGTGATACACCATCTTATATAAACAAAACACGAGTGGTTCTCGCTCTCTTTTTCATCACTCTTGCATCTCAAACCTTTGCTGCTAAAATGTGACCTTCAAGAACTCTCATCCTAACCTTGCAGTCAGACGTTAAAGAACATTACCATTTCATGCAAGTATGAACTCTAAAATCTCTTCTGAACTTTTACCAACTTTACCAATCCACAATTCCTAACATGCAACAGGAACTTATTCTTCTAAACTACAGTTTAATAATTAATTCACTCAAGTACAAATATTTCCAAATCTAAGAGACATAACTCTATCAAAGCTTCAGCTTATATGCTTACTACTGAGTACATAGAACAAATATGATTAAGATATCTCATCAATTGCTTTTGTAATATATTTTTTAAATTGTAAAGGCACTTTATGAACACCCTGTATATTTAGAGATTTTTGATAAAATCCAAAGAAGAATCAGCAATATTATTGATCCTGACATGGCATCTTGGCTACAGTCACTCTCACCACCATAATGTAATGTAGCTTCCCTGTGCCTTTTCTATAAATATTTTCATGATAACTGGTTATATGAACTCTTCGCTATGGTACCTAAACTTTATGAATTTAATCGCAGTACTAGACTGGCGGCAAGGTCTCATCAATTCACAGTTGAATTGGCTGGATGTAACTGTAAGTTCTATTCTTGATGTAACCGTTCTTTTCTCACACTTCTCACTTGTGGAACTTTATTTCGGCTCCATGCTTTCCAGCCAATTTTTATCCCCCAAAATTTAAATGGAATGTCAATTGTCATCTTCCTGATTACACTTCTATTTCTCTCACTCCTAAATAATATTTCTCTTTTTCTTATTCTCTAACACTCAGTAACACCTTGTGTCTTAGTGGCTTTATTTCCTTGCATGGAGTGAAATGATTAAAAAAAATAATAAAAAATATGCTTGGTATTACTTGCCTAGAAGGTACCCTTCAGGCAGACTTTAGGCTAGCTCCTACAGAGGGCTTTTGGCCCTCCAGCCTTTTACCTTCACAGTCCTATGTATGTAATAGTTATAAGAATTTAAAAATAATAAAATTATATCATCGTTATTCGACACCTTAATTTGGCATAATCTTTCTTCATATACGCAACCGATCTCCGTAGTTTGTTTAGATTTATTTTGTGCACATTTTTTTTTCTCTTAAAATCACTATTCTTCACATAAAGTCACTCTTAAAAGACATTAGGGAGCCTGAACTATGTAATACTTTGAATATATCATGTTATTTTTTTTTGTCTCGGATGCTACCTGAATTTTACCAAAAACAAAATAATTTCCATTCCTGAAGATGGCTGAATGTACAGTTGAAAGTACTTGCGTATTAAAGAAAGACTTTATACAGCTTATAATTTTTAAAAACAAGGTTCATAACATTCATCGAGTGGTTCGTAGGTTAATGTAACTTTAAAATTTTGTTCGCAAAGGGATCTCACCATTTTATATCATTAACCTTACTAATTTTTTGTATGAATGATTCATTGTAATATAAATTGGACTGCACCACATATTTGATATATATATATATATATATATATATAATACCAATTGGTAATTGGTATGGATAATTCCAAGGAGGACATTAATCCAAAAAGAGCTCAATGTAAGTAACAGTGCAATATAATAGTAAGTCAAGAAAAACCTTAAAAATCCATCTCAGTTATAATTTATTTCATGAATATATTTATATATTCATCTCTTCAGACTTACACCTTAAATAGCAACTGAAGTGGACAGGCACATCTTGACTCTAGGAGTGCTAAGAACTTGCTTTCATCACTCTATAAACTGACATCACTCACCAGCCATCATGTGGCCCTTGCTATTCATCTCAACCAAAGGGAGATAATCGCCTTTTACATCCCTACAGTACACTAGATTTTGTATTATATCAATATAATTTAAATAATACTTTGGGGGTTAATTTGTATAGTCAATAGTATTTTTCTTTCTTTTTTTATTTCTCATGGAGCAATTTGTTGTTGACATTCTAACAACCTAGAAATATAGTGTAAACCAGGTTTTGGGTATTTGTCTTTGAAGTGTACCATGTGTGAACATTTTATCAACTTAATTATATAATTTACAAATGAAATCTTGAGGACATGTCTTAAAGCTGCTGTATGCCTTGTGCAAATCTAATTGGTCAGCATTTCCCTGGAAATGGTGGAGGTGTGCTGGAAACTAAATAGATTCTTGTCAAAAGAATTCTTACACTCGACTGAAGACAAAAGATTTGAAATCATGGTTATAATGTCATGCATTAAAACTGTTCCCTTACAGGCATTTCAGAACATTATTGCAGTCTTCATAGTTGATTCTGTTCAGTGCCGACTTTAATTTCTTAATATAAATTGCTTCTAGTATCTGTATTCTAAATTTGTTGTTTTCATGGTCTAGCATAGTTGTATTGTCGATTAGTAATTTTTTATATTGTGAATGCGGATAGAAATGTTGTTGTAGATGTCTTGAAATAGATGAATGGTCAGACATGTGGAGTGTAAGCCTTCTTGTTAGTGCATTTGTCATATAAACAGCATATATATTTGACATTATAACATAGAGAGAAAAAATTCCATAATGGATAATTTTTCACGTTGTAATGAACATACAGCACATTGTCAACTGCTTTTCATTTAAAAGCATAATGAAAAAATTATGGTAATGGATAACAATGCACATCTTTGTATAAATACTTATATTAATGAACAACATATAGTTTAGTTTTTGTATTACTTGTGCTCCTGAAGATGATCTTGGGAAAAGATCGAAAGTACTTGGGAAATGAAAGTAAAAGAAATTTAAACAGTTATAGCAAATTTTTCTCATCCTTTAATATCAATACATGGAAGGTTATTCGTGAGTATAAACGGATTTTGTTAAAATTAGCAGACATAATGTCTGTAATTTATTCAATCAGACATGCCTAATATATATATATATATATATATATATATATATATATATATATATATATAATTATTTATTTAGAAAATTTATAACATAAACAAAATGGATATTTTTGTAGTTATTTTATAACATGTTTATGTTATAAATTTTCTAAATAAATAATTATATCTGCTCTACTTTGTATTAAACACTCTTTTAAGAATAGTAATTGTTGGTTATTGGAATTTTTCCATATACACCAATTATATATATATATATATATATATATATATATATATATATATAATTTCTAGAAGAGCCATGGTGGAGTAATGAATAGTGGCTTGGATTGAGGAATTGAGATCTGAGTTTGAATTCCAGTCGAATCCATTACATTCACTGACATGCTAATACCCTTGGGAAAGGTATGGATCCTCTTCTTCTCCCCCCAGCTATGGGTAAATAGAAGGATAGACAGGGTTCTATAGCCTTGGATGGCAACTGGTCTACTGCAGAAAGAAATGGCAACCTACTAAGAGGAAAAAATCTGCCTCGTCAGTCATGTATCAAAAGATACATGATTGGCTAAGTGTGTATCATGTATGGCACATAACTGACTGATATTTTAGCAAGTGCATCAAAAACAGGAGCTGCTCCCAACTTAGATTACTAATGAGAAGAGAAACACTAATTTCAATACTGATCTCTAGATATGTATATAACTAGATTGAAAATCAACGTAAATCAGAATTGATGAATAAATTTTATCCATTCTCCAATGCTTCGGTCAGCTGAAATACTATAAAGGTGCAACCCACTCTATCTTCTATAGATACATTCCATACTTACCTCTTTGTAACATCCACTGGTGACCTTAGATGTTCACAATATCCTGCTTTGATACTAAAACATACATATTTTTTTTCACCCACATTTTTAAGCAGGCAGCTGTTACATTTGAATGCAAACATTTACATTCTGCAATCTTGCCTGCTGCAGTTGCAAAAATATTCAAAATTAATGCTATGGCCAAGCTTTCAACTCACAAGAGTCTTCTTCAGGAGTATGAAAAAGTAAAGTCAAAGAAAGATCAACTTCCTTTTTTACCTTCATCCATCTTTTTTTTTTCTCCACCCTCTGATTGTTCCTTCTTTTTCTCTGTCCATGATCTCTTTCTTCCTTCTTTTCCTCAGTTCATGTTCCCTTTCTTTTCCTTTCTCCACCCTCGCATTCTTCCTTCTTTTCTTCTCTCCACCATCACTTTCTCCCTTTCTTTCCTTTCTTCACCCTCACCTTCTATCATTTCCTCTCTCTACCCTCCTCTTCTTTCTTCTTTTCCTCTCTCCACCCTCACCTTCTTTTCCTCACTCCACCCTCATCTCTTTCCCTATTTTCCTCTCTCCACCCTCCCTGTCTTCCTTCTTTTCCTCTCTCTCATTCTTCTTTATTTTCCTCTCTAATCTCTATCACTTCTCTTTCTTTTCCTTCCTCCTCTCTCTGATCCCTCTTTCTTTTCCTTTCTCCACCCTCGCATTCTTCCTTCTTTTCTTCTCTCCACCATCACTTTCTCCCTTTCTTTCCTTTCTTCACCCTCACCTTCTATCATTTCCTCTCTCTACCCTCCTCTTCTTTTTTCTTTTCCTCTCCCACCCTCACCTTCTTTTCCTCACTCCACCCTCATCTCTTTCCCTATTTTTCCTCTCCACCCTCCCCTGTCTTCCTTCTTTTCCTCTCTCTCATTCTTCTTTATTTTCCTCTCTAATCTCTATCACTTCTCTTTCTTTTCCTTCCTCCTCTCTCTCATTCCTCTTTCTTTTCCTTTCTTCACCCTCCCATTCTTCCTTCTTTTCTTCTCTCCACCATCACTTCCTCCCTTCGTTTCCTTTCTTCACCTTCACCTTCTATCATTTCCTCTACCTCAATTTTCTTCCTTCTTTTTTTCTCTCTTCAATCCCTTCCTTTCTTTCTTTTCCTTTTCTCACCCTCACCTTCTTCCTTCTTTTCCTTTTCTCCACCATCACCTTCTTCCTTTTTCCTTTTCTCACCTCATCTTTTTCCTCTCTTTTCTTCCTTTCTTTTTCCTTTCTCCACCTCATTTTTCCTCTCTCTACCTCACCTTCTTCCTTCTTTTTCTTTTCCCACCCTCACCTTCTTTTCCTTTCTTTTCTCCCCCCTCACCCTTCTTTCTTTTTTTCCTTTTCTCCACCCTCATCTTTTCCTTTTCACCTTCTTCCTTCTTTTCCACTCCACCCTCACCTTCTTCCTTTTTTTTCCTTTTTCCACCTTCCTTCTTTTCTTTTCCACCCTCTCCTTCCTTCCTTCTTTTTTCTCCCACCCTCTTTTTTCCTCTCTCTACCCTCACCTTCTTCCTCCTTCCTTCCTTTCTCTCCCCTCACCTTCTTCCCTCTCTTCACCCCTTTTTCTTTCCTTTCCACCCTCACCTTTTCTTTTCCTTTTCCTTTCTCCACCTCATCTTTTCCTCTCCTACCCTCACCTTTTCCTTCTTTTTTCCTTTTCCACCCTCACCCTTCTCTACCCCCTCTTTTCCTTTCTCCACCTCATCTTTTTCTCTCTGCCTCCTCCCCTTTTCCTTTCTCCACCCTTCTTTTCCTTTCTCCACCCTCACCTTCTTCTTCCTTCTTTTCCACCCTTTTTCTTTCCCTTTCCTCTCTTTACCTCATTCCTTTTTCTTTTCCTTTCCCCCCTCACCTTCTTCCTTCTTTCCTTTCTCCACACCTTTTTCCTCCTCTTTTCCTCTCTCCTCCTCACCTTCTTCCTTCTTTTCTCTTTCCCCACCTTCTTCCTTCTTTTCCTTTTTTTCCCCTTCTTTCTTCTTTTCCTCTCTTCACCCTCACCTTCTTTCTTCTTTTCCTTTCTCCACCCTCACCTTCTTCCTTCTTTTCCTTTCTCCACCCTCACCTTCTTCTTTTTTTCCTTTTTCCACCCTCATCTTTTCCTCTCTCTACCCTCACCTTCTTCCTTCTTTTCCTTTCTCCACCCTCACCTTCTTCCTTCTTTTCCTCTCTTCACCCTCCCCTTCTTTCTTCTTTTCCTTTCTCCACCCTCACCTTCTTCTTCTTTTCCTTTCTCCACCCTCATCTTTTCCTCTCTCTACCCTCACCTTCTTCCTTCTTTTCCTTTCTCCACCCTCATCTTTTCCTCTCTCTCTTCTCCCTCTTTCTTCTTTCCTTTCTCCACCCTCACCTTCTTCCTTTTTCTCTCTTCACCTTTCTTCCTCACTTTCCTTTCTCCACCCTCACCTTCTTCCTTCTTTCCTTTTCTTCACTCCACCCTTCTTGTCTCTCTACCCTCACCTTCTTCCTTCTTTTCCTTTCTCCACCCTCACCTTCTTCCTTCTTTTCCTTCTGTCTTCTTCTTTTCTTTCCTTTCTCTCCACCCTCCCTTCTTCTTTTTTTTCTCTCCACCCCTCATCTCCCCTCTTTCTACCTTCTTCTTCTTCTTTTCCTTTCTCCACCCTCACCTTCTCCTTCTTTACCCTCTCCTTTTTCTTCTTTTTTCTTCTTTCCTTTTCTCCTTTTCTCCTCATCTTTCCTTTCTCTACCCTCACCCTTCTTCCTTCTTTTCCTTTCTCCACCATCACCTTCTTTTTCTTTTTTCCTTTCTTCCCCTTTCTTTCTTCTTTTCTTTTCTCCTTTTCTTTCTTTTTCCTTTCTCCACCCTCATTTTTTCCTCTCTTCATCTTTCTTCCTTCTTTTCCTTTTCCCCCCCCCTCATCTTTTCTCTCTCTACCCTCACCTTCTTCCTTCTTTTCCTTTCTCTTCACCTTCTTCCTTCTTTCTTTTCTTCACCCTCCCCTTCTTCTTTCTCCTTTCTCCCTCACCTTCTTCTTCTTTTCCTTTCTTCACCCCTCCTTCTTTCTTTTTTCCTTTCTCACCCTCCCACTTTCTTTTTTCCTTTCTCCACCCTCATCTTTTCTCTACCCTCACCTTCTTCCTTCTTTTCCTTTCCCCACCTTTTCTTCACTTTTTCTTTTTTTCCTTTCTCCACCCTCACCTTCTCTTCCTTTTCCTTTTCCCTCCTTCTTTCTCCACCTTTCTCCACCCTCTTCTTCTTTTTCCTTTTCTCCACCCTCATCTTTTCCTCTCTCTACCCTCACCTTCTTCCTTCTTTTCCTTTCTCCACCCTCACCTTCTTCCTTCTTTTCCTCTCTTCACCCTCTCCTTCTTTCTTCTTTTCCTTTCTCCACCCTCACCTTCTTCCTTCTTTTCCTTTCTCCACCCTCACCTCTCTTTTCCCTTTCTTCCTTCATCTTTTCCTTTCTCCACCTCACCTTCTTTTCCTTCTTTCCACCCTCCACCCTCTTTCTTCTTTTTCCTTCTCCACCTTCACCTCCCTTCTTTCTTCTTTTCCTTTCTCCACCCTCACCTTCTTCCTTTTTTCCTTTTCTCCACCCCTTTTCCTCTCTCACCCTCACCTTCTTTCTTCTTTCCTTTCTCCACCCTCACCTTTTCCTCTTTTTCCTCCTCCACCTTCTTCCTTCTTTTCCTTTCTCCACCCCTCACCTTCTTCCTTCTTTTTCCTTCTCTACCCTCTTCCCCTCCCCCCCTTCTTCTTTTCCTTTTCTCCACCCTCACTTTTCTCTCTTCCCTCTTTTCCTTTTTTCCTCCTCCCCTCATCTTTTCCTTCTTTCTCTCTTTTCCCTCCTTCTTTTCTTCTTTTCCTTTCTCCACCCTCACCTTCTTTTCTTTTCCTCTCCACCCTCCTCCTTCCTTCCTTCTTTTTTCCTTTCTCCACCCCTCATCTTTTCCTTCTCTTCTCTTCCCTTCTCCACCTTCATTCTTTTCCTCTCTCTACCCTCACCTTCTTCCTTCTTTTCCTTTCTCCACCCTCATCTTTTCCTCTCTCTACCCTCACCTTTTTCCTTCTTTTCCTTTTTCCACCCTCATCTTTTCCTCTCTCTACCCTCACCTTCTTCCTTCTTTTCCTCTCTCTACCCTCCTTGTCTTCCTTCTTTTCCTCTATCCTCTCTCTCATTCTTCTTTATTTTCCTCTCTAATCTCTATCACTTCTCTTTCTTTTCCTTCCTCCTCTCTCTCATTTACTCTTCTTTTCCTCTCCACTCTCTTGTTCAACCTTCTATTCTTCTCTCCTCTCTCTCATTCCTCTTTCTTTTCCCTTCTTCTCTCTCTCATTCTTCTTTCTTTTCTTCTCTCTACTCTCTTGTTCATCCTTCTTTTCTTCTCTCTCATTATTCTTTCGTTTCATCTCTCCTCTCTCTCATTCTTTCTTTTCTTTTCTCCACCCTCCCTTTCATCCCCCTTTTCCACTCTCTACCACCTTATGCTTTATCCATTTCTTGTCATCCTTTATTTCTTTTTGCTTCTTTCTTTTCTTCTCCCCTCTCTCTCATTCTTCTCATCCTCCTCTATTTCTTTTTACTTCTTCCTCTCCTTTTCTTCTCTCCTCTCTCACTCTCATTCTTCTCATCTTCTTCCTTTATTTCTTTTTACTTCTTTCTCTCCTTATTTTCTTTGCATTTTCCCATGTTCATTTCCCTTTCTGTTTATTCTTTTCCCTAATTTCCTTTTCCTTCCGTATTTTAGCCCCCACTCGACACCTCTCTCCATACAAAATCACCTTCAGTATGCCTCCAAGTCAAAATGAATTTTCTAACCTGCTGCCTTATTCAAGATACAAGCAACTGATTTAACCAGCATATACAACACTTCACACCAGTTCACAATCTGTGCAATATAATCTCTCCTCAATCATTTATTCAAATTTAACCAGAAAAAAGCAGAGAACTCAGTGAAATTGCCAGAAAGAATACACAATTGAATTACAAGCCTTTCAGGTGGATTTTCAGGAAAAAAAAACGAAATAATGACCTGATTCATTTCCCTATTTTGACATTTTGCTTCAGATGCATTTTTGAGGCATATTGATTTATCAAGTTTTTTTTTTTTTTTTTGTCAGGAATATCCATGGCAGGAATTTACACACAGCAAAAGAAATATTTTTTTCCTAAAATATACCAAGCATGATTTATTTATCAGTAATGTTAGGTTTAATTCCTGACCATGGACAATCCCTTTCTTCCTGATTTTCAATGCATTCCTATAGTAAAATCATTAGCAATGCATTTACATTATACATATAATAGCCCTATTCTATCAGTAATGCTTGCATTCATTCCTGACCACTGACAATACCTTTCTTCCTGATTTTCAATGTATTCCTATAGTAAAACCCCCCTCCCCTTAAATTGAAGAAGTATATAAAGGCAGATGAAAGAATTATGCAGATTGTTTCTTCGTTTTACACAATGATATCCAACTGAATATTTGAGGGGAATTGCATACAATTTTTAATAAATTTTAAAATTAAAATTAAAGTTATGTATTACAAAACGATCCTTAATAAATTACTTTTATTTGTTTTTAAAAAGTTGACAAAAATTTTAATAGTTTGCATGTTGTCCCCTTGCTGAATAGGCTGGTGATGAGTTGACCTGGAGTTGAGTTGTCACAGAGATGAGTTAACTGGTGTTGAGTCGGTGGTGTTGAATTGGCTGTGATGTGTTGAACACCAGTTAACTCATATCTGTGACAACTCAATTCCAGGACGGAGTTGTCAGAGAGATAAGTTAACTGGTGTTGAATTGGCGGTGTTGAGTTGGCAGTGATGAGTCGACCTGGAGTTAAGTTGTCACGGAGATGAGTTAGCCGGTGTTGAGTTGGCGTTGATGAGTCGTCTAGCACTGCCTGTAGGATATAGCAAAATCTTAGATAATATCTTGAACTCTTGTACGTAATAAATATATTTGGTACTATATGTCATTTCTATAATTCAAGATACTTGCATTTAAAATTTGTCCCATCATTATGGGGTACAGTGTATTTTTCAATTGCCACAAGACGCTCTGACGGAGGAATCTTCCTCTAATGATTCAAGCGTCCCTCAAAAAGTTTTTCACCTCAAGACCTGCGGAATTTTACTCAAAACAGTTACCTGATAAGTAGCAGAAAATCATTGCAAATAATTCTGAATATATCTGTTCGGTTTCTCGTGGTTTGTAGAACATTAAAATAATTTAGACTGTGCAAGAACTTTCCTTCCAACCAGCTCTAATTGAGTACAGTATGATTGTACGGCATTGTTGCAATTTTTCCTGGTTGTGTGTGTGTGTGTGTTTGTGCTCAACAGTTTGAATGGAATTTTGGAAATAACTGTTCAGCAGCTTTTATTTCTGGTTGAAATGAGAGTACAAATTAGTAGTATTTTGCGGGGGGGGGCGTCGCAGTTAAAAATGTCCTTGAGTATACTAGTTGTTTTTGTTAAGAGATTTCTTCGCTAGTTCCTACAGGAGGAATGAGGAATCTGTGTGCTAGGATAGACCTTGTCTTCTGCAGCAAGGGATGGGTGTAGTTTTCCTTTAGTAGGTGAAATTTCTCTGCCGATTGCCACGGAAAGAACGAGAAATCTGATGTCAAGCTGCCAGTACACGCCTTCTTTTCTGCAGCGAAGGTTTTGTGTAGCCCTTCGAGCTGGGCTTGAAGGCAGTGACCACTGAAATTGGAAAAAAATGAGAAAGAGCAAAAATGGGATGTACAGGCCTTCGAAATGAAAAAGAGAGCTGGCGGCGAGCTAGACGCCGCTGAAGAAGAAGAAGAAGAAGAAGAAGAAGAAGAAGAAGAAGAAGAAGAAGAAGAAGAAGAACACCAAATAGGGCTCGGTCAAGGCTTGTATGACCTCAAGGATTTCCGGTTGTGTCCTGCTGATTATTTACGCTGCTGCTGCTGTATTGAGTATAATAAGGAAGCCCCCACGCGTCTCGTAGCCAACAAGTGAAATTATCTTTATAGTATTTTTAAGAATAAATTTGAAAAACAAAAACGGAAATTATTTAAGACGCTGGAGAGGTTGAATAAATCTGGCGAGAAGACACCGTCTTGTCTCAGGCCTCTTTCTATTTTTGTGTAGATATGCAATTTGGTTTCTGTCCATATGCAAGCATTTTGCTCCCAGTGTAAGTTGTGGATTATTCCGATCTCTTTCCCAAATAGATATAGTTCACCAGCAGTTCAAATAGATCTTTGTACCTTACTTTGTCATTTTTTTTCGTAATCTATAAAATATAAGTGTACATTCTTTTACATTTACATTGCTTTATTTATATCATTCTGATTGTAAATATACCATTTCTTGTTCGAGTGACCTAGACAGAGAACTGCTATGTAATAATACCAGACCTTCTGTATGGCAGTAAATGTTGGATAATTTCAATCGCAGATGAAGAGGAAACTTGAAACAACAGAGATGTGGACCTACAAAAGGATGTTGGAAAGAACACGGGCGGAGCATGTGAACAATGAGGAAGTTTTATGGAAAATTGGGGTAAAAAAAGATACTTATACTTAGAACCAGGGAGTTTTGGGGACACATAATGAAGAAAGACGGCTTGGAAGAGTTGAAGTAACAAATGCAAAGAAATGCAGGTGGAAACAGTGAGTAACCTACTTAACGGGTTTGTGTGAAATGATGGCAGAGTTAGAACCAAGAGGGATGGTGAAGAACCAAACATCGCTTTGAGTTACAAAGAGCAGGAAGCTGTAGAGAGCCACGACTGCTCACGACATCTCAATTTTCATGAGGTAATATTCATAAAATTAAAATACAAATTTCATTGTAACCTAATTGTTATAGACAAGCGTATGGCTGCTGGTTGGCGTGGCGCTACGGCTGCTGACTGCTCAGACCGACCGTGACCGATCTCTTCCCTGGCCTCCTGTTGACTGCTGTTGTACTTCCCCGTGTGACCCCTTTTATGGCGTTTTTTTTTTTGCTTAACAGGCTCGAAAAACGACGCGGTATAATTAGAGGGAAGCATTTTATTGGTCGAAAAATAGAAACACTTTAAAATATTATTTTATTTTTCGACCGGAACTTGTGCGTCGGGAATATGCGTAAACGACGATAATGGTCATTTTGTGACGGGGCCTTATCCCGTTCACATCCGGCTCTCGCTTTTAAGTATGTTAGTTTATTTGCCTGCAAATCAGCCGAGATATGTCTTATTTTATTTTATAACAGCAGGAAGATGTAGAGAGCCACGACTGCCCACGTCCGGAAAGGACAATGTACAGAAAAGGTGGATAATCATTTGGCCAGTCTGCATATCATATCACCTGCTGTAAAGTATTATACGATGTGCGAATTTTAAAAGCTATCGTTAATGAGTTTGTTCTTTATCGAATCTTTCTGCCATGTTTGGTTTTGTCAAACAAATATCTGTTAGCCATTCGTTTAGTGTATAAATTGCATTTTTCTTTTCTTGAAAAGCAGGGACACTGAAGGGGACGTCAAGAAAGTTTTTTTTTTGTTTTTGTTTTAGGAATACTGACATCGCGAAAGGGAATTGTGTCAGATTTGTATGCAAAACAAGTTTAAGTAATGGCAGAGTTACAGTCTCGTACTTGAGATTGGTTCTTCAACTGATTAAAAGAGGTGACACTGTCAATCCCCCCTTGGGCTGAACGTGATCGAAATCTCCAACTCAGAGGAGAATGCCATTGGAAGACGTGTCAACGTTCCTTTTAAGAAATTGATACGGATAGATGTGAATAATGTAAGGTTCTCGGAAGAATCTTGAGAAATAAGGGATACACAGGTATGAATAAAAACAAAGATCTTCTACCACTTCTTCTTTGTGCCGTGTCCTTTCAGGGCGTTGGCGATCATGGCTCTCCCCATTTTCCTGTCCTTTGTAGCTCTTAGTAAGTTTTTGCCATTTTTGCTATCTCTACTAATCACCGTTCTGCCAACGATTTACACAAGCACGTTAGGCAGTTTTAGGCTGTTTTTCTCTGTCCCTTCACTATGTGTTGTGGGTGTCAAAATTTCTAAGCCCCCTTTCCTCATTAGGCGCCCTAGCAATTTCAGCTGTTCCTTTCTGTTCTTGAATATAAGTGCCCTTTTTGCTTCATTTTCTCTAAAACTTTATTGTTGTCCACATTTTCAGTCCATGGTATTCTCATCATCCTTCTGTAGAACTACATTTCCGTTGCTTCAAGTCTCTTCTTGATATGAGGAAATTGTCTAGCATTCACTGCCATATAGGCAGACCGACTGTTATGATGAACAAACTTAGCAGCCGTAGATGTTCTATGTACACTGACTCAAAGTTGCCCGGGAGCTATTGTTATAGCTCTCTTTATGCTAATTACCTATTAGCTAAATCAATCATAAATTATCAATTACATAACACTTAAATACTTTTTTCTTTGTTTCGAATTAAAATTTCCTGTTTCTTAATACTTTGCTTATTTTCTAGAAGACATCTTTCTTTATTCTTATGTAAAACTTAGATATTAGTTCAGTACTCTTTTTGTTTCTAATGAAATTTTCTGTTTCTTAATACTCTACTAAGTTTTGGAAGGTGTCTTTCACTATCTTAATGCAACTTCGGATTTCGAGGTTGCACTTTCTTTTCTCTGTTAAAACACTTCCTAGATATTTAAATTGTATTTGTTTAATTTTGGTATCTCCAATTTGTAATTTGCATGTTGGGCTGATCCCTTTTGCTAACAACCATACATTCTATCGTCTTACAATTGATGTTTAGTCCTTTCTTCTCTCATTC